GAAGTCAAAGTGTCAAAGGGAAATTTCAGAAGTGTAATAATTAGGAAGAGAAGAGTGTTGTTCCTTAGTGACACTTTATAAGGTATTATAGGAAATAGTCGGATTTTAAGTTGATTGTAGTTTTAAAAATTTAATAATATTAAAGTCTATGCATTTAATGAACTTTTGAGTTGATTTGATCTTTAATTACAACTAGTAATTGTAAAAGTACGATTCAAAAAGATGATGAACCATACCAAAATTTATGTATTAGTGGATTTTCTACCACATTTTTTTGTCAAGTGGGTACTCAGTTCTCATACTCCTATCTTCAAACCTTCCCTCCACCACAATATACAAACCGGGTTAGGAGGTGCAAGTGTAACACAACAAATCTTTTGGCTCAAAAACTATCCCTATAACTATAGCTCCCTTCGGCCTTCGATTTTGAATTTCATTGCAAATTATAGATTGGTTCCTAAAATTAATAGGTTTCAAGATATAGTAGTACATAAAAAGTATTTTTGCGTATAAGTCCTAGAAATAATGATAGGAATTATAGTTTAGTACCTAGATTTTTATGTCTTACATTTTGGTGCCTAAACTTTTAGGTAATTGCTTTCAATCTCCTATATTCGATTTCATCATAACCTCTTTTTTCCATATAGTTAAGTATCTAAGTACTTTAACATATTACAAAAATATATGTGACTCTATTTTATAAAAATTACGTTAATTGCAAATACATTACGTAAAACTTACAGAGCGATATTTATTCCTTACGTATCAATTAAATAGAACCTATTACTTAAATCTTTCGTGATGACTAAGACAATATGTAAAGCTTATGGCGATTTGCTAATTTATTTTGTATCAATTAAATAAACATAATACATAAATTTTCCATAATACAAAATTGAATGAAGATTCACAAATTTTAACTAAATAGTTGACCATCTCATCAGCTTGCATTACACGAATTTTTTGTAAGGTTATTTAGTTGTTACATAACATTTTAATCAAGTGAAACTTTTAAAATCTACTATTAATAACAATGTTCACCATCAAATCAATTTAGATTAGAAAAAGCTAACATTTACATTGTAGTTTAATCAAATTGAAACTTCCCATAACTTGATTATATTATTAGACCACACATTATGAAACATTTAGGTAACATCTTCTATAAAAAAATTACTTAAATTACAGATTCATTACGTAAAGTTGATAAAAAGATACTTATTTCTTACGTATTAAAAAAATGTATTAAACAAAAAAAATTCACAATAATAACACAAGATATTGTCACCCTACCAGCTTCGTATGAGTTGGCATGCATCCCAATTCTTTATTTATAATATTGGTTAATAAATTATTATTATTATTATTATTATTATTATTATTATTATCTATATAACATTACAAGTTAAAATCACTATTCCTTACTAAAAATGATGGATAGCAATATTTAATTGCTTTCAATCTTCTACATTCAATTTCATCATGACCTCTTTTTTTCCTATACTTAACTATCTAACTACTTTTGCATATTACAAAAGTATGTGTAACACTATTTTATAACAGTTACTAAATTATAAATACATTATGTAAACCTTACATAGAAATATGTATTCCTTATGTATCAATTAAATAGAACGTATTGCTTAAATTTTTCCTTGAATAAGATAATATGTAAAGCTTATGGAGATTTACTAATTTATTTTGAATCGATTAAATATACATAACTTTTCCGTGATCCAAATTTGAATGAAGATTCATAAATTTTTAACTAAATAATTTACCATCTCATCAATTTGCATTACACAAATTTTTTGTAAGGTCGTTTAGTTGTTATATAATATTTTAATAAAATGTGATACTTTTCAAATTTATTATTAACTATAATGTTCACCATCCAATCAATTTAGATTAGAGAAAAATTAATGTTTACATAGTAGTTTAATCGAATTGATACTTCCCATAAAATGATTATATTATTAGACCATACAATATAAAATATTTAGGTAACACCATTCTATAACAATTATGTAAATTACATATTCATTACGCAAGGTTTACAAAGAAATAATTTTCTTATGTATTAAACAAAACATATTACTTTAGTCTTCCGTGATGTAAGACACTACATAAACTTTATGGAGGAATACGAATATCTTATGTATCAATTAATAAACATAATACATAAGTCTTTCATACTATGAATTGGAACAAAAACTCCTGAATTTTATTACCTGCAATATTCACCATATCATCAATTTACATTCCGCAATATTTTGTAAGGTAAGTTAATTTTATATAATAGTTTATTCAAATGTGAGACTTACCTCGTAATTTGATTTTATTATTAGATCACTGTAGAATACTAACGTAACACTTGTCTATAACAATATATAGAAATTATAATACATTACATAAAAACTATAAACAGATAGTTATTTTCTTATATATTAATCAAATAACTATATTATGTAAATCTTTGGACACACAAGGATGTATTTTAACCGAACTACTTAATGACTTATTTGATTCAAACTAAGTCATTGAATAAGAGGGTAATTTTATTTATACAACTAGTTTTATTGCCGCTGTGAATTACGGATAAAAAGCTAGTGAATTAACTTAAATATACAGGTGTTAGAATATAACTTGAATTTGATTTGGGTTTGTTTTGTATTTTGGGCCTATTCTGTTTGGGTTTGGGTTTGGCCTTTTTCCTTGTATGTTTGAGAAAAGGTATTTTGTTTTCTGTTTGGGATTAGGAGAAGAGTTCTATAAATACTCTTTATCACACTAGTCTGTAGTAAGGTCAGTCAGGTTAGTTTGTTTGGTTTGTCCGTTTGGAATTTGGATTGTAACCTGTACTCTCCTCAAAATCAGTGAAATTTGTTCTCCCTTGCCCGTGGATTAGCTTGCACACATTGTGTTAGTGAACCACGTTAAATTTGTGTTCGTTCGTGTTGGTTTGGATTATCGATTGCACGCTTCTGTTCTGACAAGTGGTATCAGAGCCTGGTTGCGGTTTTGGGAATTTGGTGCTGGACTGAAGTTTTGCTTTGTAGAGGTAGCTTTCAATTCTTCAGCTTGGTTCGGTGGAGGAATCGCTTTGAAGTTGACTTTAGGTGGTTGTGTTTTGGTCTCGCTTTTTTGGTGAGAAGTTTGGTTGGAGTTGTTTGATAGTAAGAATGACTGCTATCAGTATGAAGATTGAGAAGTTTACAAGAAGAAACAGTTTCAGTTTGTGGCAGATCAAGATGCAAGCACTGTAGAAACAACAGGGTTGGTGGGCTCCGTTGTCTGGAAAATCGAAGAAGGAAAGTATAGTTGAAGAAGAGTGGATTACTTTGGAGGAGAAAGCTCACTCTACAATCTTGCTTTGTTTGTCTGATGACATCATCACTGAGGTTGCTACTGAGAAGACTGTTGCAGGCTTGTGGTTGAAGCTTGAAAGTCTATACATGACAAAGTCTTTAACCAACAAGTTGCATATGAAGCAACGTTTGTTCAGTTTGCGTATGGAGGAAGGTACGTATCTTAGGAATCATCTAGATTAACTCAATACTATCTTGTTAGATCTGCGGAATATTGATGTTAAAATAGATGATGAGGATGCTGCCTTAATTTTGTTAGTATCTTTGCCCCAGTTATATGAGAATTTTGTGGATTCTTTTATTGCTGGAAAAGATAGTTTGTCTTTGGAAGATGTCAGATCTACTCTACATACTAGAGAGGTTCGACATAAGGCATCTGGTTCAGGTTCGGAAAATCAGGTATCTGGGTTGGCTGCTACTAGTAGTAGGAGACAACAATCTGGTAATAGGAAGGCGAATACAAATTCGATTTCAGCTGGTTTGAAGGATGATATCTGTCATTACTGCAAGGAGAAAGGACATTGGAAATTTGATTGTCCTAAACTGAAGAAATATCAGGAGAAGAAGGAATCATCTGCTGCTGTGGCGGAAGAAACTAACTCTAATTCTGAAGATGGTTTAGCCTTAGTAGTCAATGAACATGTACATCATCAGTGGATTATCATATGTGGTATTTAGATACTGCAGCGGATTATCATATGTGTCCAAGCAGGGAGTGTTTTTCAACTATGAGCAGATAGATGGAGGACATGTTTCTATGGCCAATGGTGCTATCTGTAAGATTGTTGGAAGAGGCTCCGTCCAGATGAGGACACATGGTGGTTCTGTTCGCACCTTGAACAATGTTAGACATATTCCAGAGATGACTAAGAATCTGATATCTTTGAGTCTACTCGACAGCAAGGGTTTCAGTTTCAAAGGTGAAGGTGTAGTGTTGTCTGCCTACAAAGGTTCTAAGGTGATTTTGAAAGGTGTCAAACGGGGTGCCTTGTATAATCTACAAGGTTCTGTGTTGACATGTTCTGTTAGTGATAAGTGCACCAAGCAGGTTCTGAATGGCAAGTCTCAACATCAGTTGGATTTGCCAAATGGTTTGAGTTGTTGACCGCTCTTGGGGGCATTTGGAGGTAGGGGAGATTCTGGTACAACTGATTTGGAGGATTTTGGTACATCTGGCAACTTTGGTTGCGTTTGGTACATCTGGTATTTGAGAGAGAATATGACTTGAATTTGATTTGGGTTTGTTTTGTGTTTTGGGCCTATTCTGTTTAGGTTTGGGTTTGGCCTTTTTCCTTGTATGTTTGGGAAAATATATTTTGTTTTTTTGTTTGGGATTAGGAGAAGAGTTCTATAAGTACTCTTTATCACCCTAGTCTGTAGTAAGGTCAGTCAGGTTAGTTTGTTTGGTTTGTTCGTTTGGAATTTGGTTTGTAACCTGTACTCTCCTCAAAATCAGTGAAATTTATTCTCCCTTGCCCGTGGATTAGCTAGCACACATTGTGTTAGTGAACCACATTAAATTTGTGTTCGTTCGTGTTGGTTTAGATTATCGATTGCGCGCTACTGTTCTGACAACAAGGAATGTCTTACAATGCAAAGAAACCGTCGAAGGAGGAAAGCAAAGAAAAGAAGAAGCCAACTATATGCCTTCTTCTTCTCCATCCACCTTTATTCCACTAGCAGCCTATATAGCCGCCAACTTGGGACACACATACATATTACACAAACACATTTATTCTTAGGGATGATCGATATGGATCGATGAATATATAGTCGTTTTGACTTATTAATACGCTGCTGCAATTTGGAGGAGACAGCTGACCAACTCTTTTGGTTTGCACAACATGAGTTTGTGGTCTCCTCCAGGGATGCTATAAACCTTGTCTGGCTTAAAGTTTTCGATCTGCCACAGCTGAAACTCCTTTGTGAAGATCAAGTCTTCTTCGCCATAGATGTAGACTCTCTTCACCGAACCATATCCTTCCTCTGTGAAGTTGTTCCTTTTGGCCAAATCATCTCGAAACAACGACCCTTTCCTTGTCAACATTTTTGCCAGTTCATAATCCTTCAACAGTATTACCCAGATGTGAACATGCATATATTGTTGGGAAATTGCTTGGATCCAAGCATGCATATATAATTAATGAGAGATTTTAGAGGATATTTATTTTATTTATTGTACCTCAAGTGGGGAGTTCTGGTAGATGTTCTGCTTCATAAGCTCGTGCCCAAGCTTGACCGATTCTACCGTCTCATTCCTGATTTTGTATGGAGAGAACTCAGAGTCTTTCCAGTCAGAAAAGAACTTCTCCCCCAACTGCATGAATTAACTCACATGATTAATTTGAAGCTGGTCTAAATAGGAATTATGTTACTCACGTTATCTATAGAGAACATTGTTATCTCAATATTAAGACCGATGATAATGTAGGGATTCATGATCGACCATTGTGTAAGAGGAAAATGGTAGTGATTAAGTTTGCGGAGAAAACCGTTGATTGTGTCAATCTTTCTGGTGTTTGAACAAACTCATTAGTCTGTCCAAATCAACGATTACTCAACACAATGGAGGATCCAGATAGGCAGATAGGCGGATGTATAGGTCTATGAACCCCAGTTGGAAACTAATTAAAACATTGAAAACGGTATAAATTAGTAGCACTTCTACTATGCTATAAAGTATTGGTGTTTTAATGTACAATTTAAAGTTGTATCATAACGTTAAATGTGTAATTTCAGGTTGTACCATAAAGGAATTTGTGCTCTTATGTTATGGTACAACTTTATAACTTAAACTTGTACCATCAAATGAAAGTACAAGCTTAAGTTGTACCATAAAATAATTTGACAAAAGAGTATAGGTACAATATGAAGTTGTGCCATAAAGGAAAAAACCTATAGTACCAATACTATATAGCATTGTAAAATTCCTTAAAAGTCCCTATAAAATTTTAGATAGACATCCTCTTTCTATTTTAGATTTCGATTTTGATCAGACGTTACCACATATTCTTACCATTCCTGTATAATTGAATTTGGAAAGAGGTAAACATTTTTAGCCAAAATAATAATAATAATAATAATGAGGAAACATAATTTAAAATTATTATTGCCTACAGCTAAACAGAAAGTTATTTACTTTTGGACCCCACTTAGAGAAACTTTGAGCTATCTCAATCACTCAACTGGTAGGTAGAATTAATGCAATGGAAGCTATTGTAGAAAGAATAAAGCTCATTATACATAAGCTACCAATGAAGGATGATTTACCGTATCCAGAACATAAGACGGCTTGTGTTGGGTATCAGGCATGAGTGCATTAGTGTAGACGGCGGCCGCAATCCTCTGCGGGAACTTGTCGGCGGCGATGGAGATATAAACCCCGCCGCAGCTCTCCCCGACCAGAATCACCTTCTCGCCTTCGGGAAGAGATTCCAGCAGCTTCAGCAAGGGCTCCAAGTACTCTTCCACCGACCCGATTTCTTCGATTCTCCGCGGGTCGACTCCACTCGCTGCCAGATTGATGGCACTCACCTTGTGCCCGCCGGCGGCTTCAAGCAGCAGCTTCACCTTGTACCAAACCCATCCGCCGTGGCAGGCTGTATGAACCAACACGAAATGCTTCTTACTACTTTCACTCCCCATTTCCATATGTTAAGCGTACTAACTGAACTACTTGGTTTTGATGAGTTTTGACTGAATGCAAAATGGAGCCAAGCGACTATAGGTATGCTATATTAATATTGGAGTTCGAAGAGAGGCCCGGCCCACTGATTCATTTGACGTTATACGTGGTGTCGTGTTGTGGATGATTTTCGCATCAGGATTGAAATATCGTACAGGTGGTTGTACTAAAAAAGTCAGCGTGATAGTGTATTTTATGCTAAAACCATGGTTCAATCGATTCATAATGCATAATACTGTCTACCGATTTAGCCTTCGATAAAAGGTTTTCTTGTCAAACCGCCGATACAGTATGATTTTTTCAATCCTTGATCGAAAGAATTATTGACATGCATGGGTTGCCCTGGCCCTGGCCTCAATGCGGCAGCTAGCATTTACCCTACAATACTTGCATATAAATTTTTTCTTAAAAAAAAATTATCCATTTCCATTCAACCAGCAGATTAGAAGCAGAAGTAAACTATGGGTATTGCAATTCAACTATGATGCTCCATTGGAAACTAAAGATGATTTGTTAAAATGACAGTGTTGGCTTGAAATAATGAACAATGATAGGTCATTGACTCGTTGTTGTTGTTGTTGTCCCCCACCAGGCCACCACCAATCATTTACAGTTAGGTGGGATGGTGTATTTGGAGTGTACAGTTACATTCACGTTTCAGTTAGGTGGGATGGTTTGTAGGTAGGATGATAGAAATTGGCAAAAGGGGCAAGTGAAAGGGAAATTTCAGAAGGGTAAACAATGACCACTATATACACTCTTATCTAAAATTTTCACTAACTTAAACTAATTTCATTGAGTTGAACTTTTTATTAACTTACTGCTAGTGTTATCATAATAATAACACAAGAGGGGTTATTACAACCTATAATTCTCATGTCATGAACCAGTTGATCCCAATAATTCGAGTTGTTGGGAGAAGGTTATGTTGGATCTTATACAGGCCCATGTATGGTACTTAACCATTTCCTTACGCGCCCCTCAAGCGAAAGCCGACTCATGGGCTTGAAGTTTGCACAGGCCCGCCATACCGCGTGCTTGAAAGACTAACGGTTAATCGTGATGACTTGAACACGTGACCTCAAGGACAAACCAGCTCTGATACCATGTCATGAACCAGTTGATGATCCCAATAACTCGAGTTGTTGGGAGAAAGTTATGTTGGATCTTATACAAGCTCATGTATAATACTTAACCACTTTCTTACTGAGTATGCATTCAACATCCACTATATAGTCGGCCCCAATTTTTTTTATTTGTAATAAGGTTGAACAAATGCATTAACTTGAATAAATAGGAAAGTCTTGAAATTCAAAGACACGGCTAGAAAGGAAGGGGGAAAGGAAAGGAAAGAAAATTGAGAAGCAAGCTATCTCTACCTTCTTCTTCTTCCACTACCTTTATTTCACTAGCAGCCTACATAGCTACCAGTTTGAACACACATACATATTACACACAGATTTATTCATAGGGATACTCGAAGAGCCGTTCGACTTATTAATAAGATGCTGCAATTTGGAGGAGACAATCGATCAACTCTTTTGTTTTGCAGAACATGAGCTTATGGTCTCCTCCAGTGATGGCATAGACCTTGTCTGGCTTAAAGTTTTCGATCTGCCACAGCTGGAACTCCTTTGTGAGGATCAAGTCTTCGTCACCATAAATGTAGACTCTCTTCACCGAACCATATCCTTCCTCTGTGAAGTTGTTCTTTTTGGCTAAATCATCTTGGAACAATGACCCTTTCCTTGTCAACATCCTCGCCAGTTCATAATCCTTCAGCAGTAGTACACAGATGTCAACATGCATATTTATATATAGCTAAGAGATTTTAGATTATATATATATTTACTTATTTATTGTACCTCAAGAGGGGAGTTCTGGTAGATGTTCTGCTTCAGAAGCTCGTGCCCAAGCTTGACTGATGCTACCGTCTCATTCCCGCTTTTGTATGAAGAGAACTCAGAGTCTTTCCAGTCAGAAAAGAAGTTCTCCACAAACTGCATGAATAACTCGGATGGTTTTATAGATGGACTAATTAAGTACAAATTCTGTTACTAAACATATTTTATTGTACAGAATACTGTTAGCTCATATTAAAACTGATAATAATGCATGTAGGGATTCATGATCGACCATTAAGTAACTAAGCTGATATTGATTGATCCATCACGCTGCTACACAACCCGATTTGACACAATTTATCTCATGCTAAGAAGAAAATTGTAGTGTTTGAGTTTGCAAAATTGCGTCAACCTGATCGATATGGTGTTTGAACAGACTAATTTCTCTTTTCAAATCAACCTAAGTACTCAATATAAAACTTTGGAAATATAGTTTTTTTCTTAGATCCCTATAAAACTGGCCAATTGGAAACTAAACCATTGAAAACTGTATGGATTTGTGGTCCCTATAAAACTTTGGATAAAGTAACATGAAATATAGTTTTTTTTTATATAACTTATTTGGTAGAAGGACTAATGTAGGTATCATCAGTTGATTCTCTTTTCTATTTTAGATCCCGAATTTGATGACCACTACCACCTATTCTTACCATTCATGAAAAACTGAATTCTAATTCAACTGTTCTTAACTACACGTGCTTGAAAGAAGCAAACCTAATTTAGAAATAATATTGCCTATACTTTCGCACTCCGCTTAGCGGAATTTCTCGCTAGCTATCTTTCTCAATCACTCAACTACTGGTAGGTAGAATTAATGCAATGGAAGCTATTGTAGAAAGAACAGAATGAATGATGTTAATTAATTGTACCGTATCCACGACATAAGAAGGCTTGTGTTGGGTGTCGGGCATGAGTGCATTGACATAGACGGCGGCCGCAATTTTTTGGGGGAACTTGTCGGCGGCGATGGTGACATTAATCCCGCCGTAGCTCTCCCCGACCAGAATCACCTTCTCTCCTTCGGGAAGAGATTCCAGCAGCTTCAGCAAGGGCTCCGAGTACTCTTCCACCGACCCGACTTCTTCGAACGGACGCGGGTCGGCACCGCTGGCCGCCAGATCGATTGCGCTCACCTTGTGCCCGCCGGCGGCTTCAAGCAGCGGTTTCAGCTTGTACCAAACCCATGCGCCGTGGCAGGCTGCATGAACCAACACGAAATGCTTCTTACTACTACTGTCGCTCTCCATTTCCATATGTTAAGCGTACTTACTCAATCAAACTAGTTAGTACGTGGTTTTGACTGAATGAATTAAAATGGAGCCAAGCTATAGGTACTTAAATATATTGGCGTCGTCCACTGATTTACTTGGCGTTATATGCGGTGTCGTGTTGTGTATGATTTTCGTATCAAAAGGATTATTGATGACATGCATGCAGGGGCGGAGCTAGGATTTGACGGTCGGGGGGGCCGAAGTTATGTAGTGTATTATTTCGAAAAGGAGAAAAAATAATAAGTAAAATAACTGAAAGTGCGATAATTTTTTATTATTACCTTTATGACACAATACATTATTTGAGATAAAAAAAATCATTGAAATTAGAATTTAAGACCAAGTTTCTAAACATTATGTTCAAAACAAATAAGTAAAATAAAAACAAATAACTAATCATACCTTTTATCGTGTAAAATGTTGCTTATTGTTTATATAATCGAAAAATGAATGATCTCTATTATTTGGAATAAAATATGTAATTAGTCATACAACCAAAAGGATTCTTAAGAATGCGTATTTGAAAGTTGAAAAAAATGAACTAAAATGCACAAATTAAACTAACTGAAACTAACAAGGTAAAAGTATTTGAAAGTTGAAAAAAATGAACTAAAATGCACAAATTAAACTAACTGAAACTAACAAGGTAAAAGTATAGAAAGATAAAAGTAGCTTCCTGGGGGAATCGAACTCACACCCACAGACTTCCAAAATCAATTTCTTCCGCTAGACTATGACAATCTTAATGTCATATTTTTCGGACAACATGTTATTATAAAAGAAACACAAATTTATACGTAATATTCCAACTACCGACAAGATTTTCACATGAATTCAAAATTCTCGGGGGGGCCGGGGCCCCTCCGAGGGACCACATAGCTCCGCCCCTGTATGCATGGGCGAACCTGGCCCCAATACGACAGCTAGCATTTACCCTACATCCCTCTAAAGCATCTTTTTCTTATAAAAAAAATGGTATCGACATCGATTCATCGACCATGTCCCTGTCACATTTATCCTCGCGAGAAAATAATTTAGATTACAATTATGATAGGGTACCATCTTGTTTTTTTTTATTCCCCTACGGTTTGGTTGACGGGTGTGTATAAATTTCCCACGTTTTAATAGTTCTACGTTGGGTGGTTATACGGTTCGCTCTGGTTAAATTGACCTAAATTGATTCAGTCCCGATCCGGTTTTTCGGGAATATAAGTATCAAAAATTGATTTGGATATAGTCACGTCTTGACTTAGTCCGATCCCAATTCGGTCATGATTTTAGATTTAGCTTTTGGGGATTTGAGTGGCCTTAGGCCTCAAAGGGTGAGGAGTTGGTTAAGTTTTGGGTGTTGTGCTCTCTTATCCGGTTTTTGGTCCGGTCCCGAACGATTTTTTTTATCTCAAATCTAAGCCCGAAGATGAGATTGGATTGTTTGTTATCATATCCCGATCCGGTCTCGGTCCGGGTTATACGGTTCGGTTTCCAGTAAAACAAAAAGCCCGGAACAAACAGTCACCCCTAATTCTACAACGGTCAAAACAGTAACTATAACTAAACAACAATGACGACATAAGAGTTGTAGGTCTACCATTGCAAAGGACAAGAATTACAACTAGAAAATCAATGATTATGATTGTATTACTTACGGTCACTTGTTTTGCATGATGCTAACTCTTTATGGTTAGCAATAGAGGTGACAATAATTATCCAATCCACTAATTCAATCCAATCCAATCCATTTAAATTTGATCCAAGTCCATTTAAATTGACCCAAGTCCATAATAGTCCAAATCCATTTAATCCATGGATAAATGGATTGGATGGATGGATATCCACCAATCAAAACAAATCCATTTACGAAAGAAGCAGTAACTCTCTCAAACACCACCCTGACCTCGTCGCCGCTAAAAACACCGAATGTCGTTCGCCCCCAGTTCATCGTCGGCAGCATCCTCGCCGGCGCCGTCTCCCTCTCCGAGTTGAACCCACCTCGCCGCCAACTTTAGAACCCGCTTCGCCGCCATCTCAATTGCTGTAGTTTACCCTCCAGCTCCCCGGTAAAACGTCGATTATCTGATTCCCCAAACACCACCAGCTTCAAGGCCAACACAGGCGACGTCTCCGCTGCCTCCCTCTCCAGCATTAGAAGTCATAACCTACCTGCCGCAGTCCCAGTTGTATTTTCCCCTGCAACTCTCTCAAAGGACGTTCATCGCACCATTCGCCCAAACCCACGAAGATACTTTGCACGCCGTCTCTTCGTTCCGCGTCTCAAAGGTTCAAAGGCTCCTTTCTTATCGAATCTCTTTTACAATTCTTCTATATTTCGTCTCTCCTCTAGTAGATTATTGGTATTGTGCTGCTATTGACACTCTGCCTCCCGTAGTATGAGTTCAGTCTCACTTTCTGGTTTAGCCGAGTGATGACTGCCAATTAGAGTACTGCTATTGTGCTGAAGGTACAAAAATTTGGCACTGAATTGCCCACAGATGAAACAACTTGGATGGATTCGTAGGTCTAGTTTGTAGAGGTGCTTTGTTTTGGATTGAGGTGGGATTTAGCTTGATCACCAAAGTTAGCCTCCTTGTGCCAACTTGGATGGATTCCTATCACAACCGTAGCATCAGAGTCGGCATTCAGTATGGGCGGTAGAGTTTTAAATAGTTGGCGGAGCACTCTTTTGCCTAAAAATGCCGAAGCCTTAATTACCACTCGTAATTGGTTATACGGATTTCCAAGTAAGCTAATTAATAATATATATTGATTTATGATTGGTTCAATCTAATTAATTATTAAGTTACATTTGAATCAGGTGGTGATCATGATAATGGACTTGAGGTGAAGATTTCGAAGACTTTTGGAGAATCCTCAGTGGCATCTGATTGTACTCCTCTCTCAGATGAATGATATTTGTGGGTGAAGTGTTGCTATGGAAAGCTGTTGTACTAGTCTACATGGAGCTGTTGGAGGCCTAACATAGTGACAATTTCAGGACATCTGCCTCTTTTGCTAGCTATTGAAGCAACTACTTTCATATTTCCGATATGGGTTGTTAAATTTTGCTGCTACGTTGATTGATGGATGTATATAGAACGTAGGACCCTGAAAACCAATGATGGAATTGTGGATTGTTTTATCTGATCTTATATCTGTAAGATATATGGTTGTTGATAGTTGCTTTAGCAACTATGGAATTTTGTGGATTGTTCTATTGCTGCTAAGTTCCATTTAGATTCAGCAGGCTAGTGGCCGCCATGGGCTTGAATGGAGGAGTAGAAGTTGATGGACCTCGTCAATTGTGGTTTTCACAGCTTCCTCTGTTATCTCTTCACTTTCCTTCAATTTCACTGCTGATGGAATTATCCCAGTTGGGTTCTCTTTCGTCAGCTGCTTACCGGAGGGAGACACCGCGAATCAGAAGAAGAATTTCACTAAGATGACAGTAATAATTTTAACTAATATACATTAGATAATCTCTAGGAATGATCACCTGCATGGCTGCATCCTCATCAAGAGATCAGCACTCTGCTTCACTCGCCAGCCTTGCCTTTCTTCAGCGATTCCGAAAAACAAAGAAAAACAGGGGAAAGAAAAAACAGAGTCGCTCTATTTGCTGGTTTTGGGTGGTGGGCTGCTATTGTCGCCACTCGCCAGCCTTGCTCTGCTGGTAGAGGCGAAGGAAAATACAGAGTTGGGGCTGAAGGAGAGAATCCTCTGCCGAAGCTGCTGGTACAGGCGAAGGAAGATTACAAAGTTCCGCCGCCGGAGCTGTTGGTGGCGCGAAAGTAGAAGTCTGGGAAAGTGTAGAAATTGGGAGCTGTTGGTGCCGATGGCGAGCACGGTGGCAGGGCCCTTGGCCCGTTGCAGCTTGCGAATTTCATCCACCCTCATCGGTTGTTCGTCCGCCGCCGGCGACAAGAATATATATTCAACGAGCAAGGCAGTGGACAAAATCCTACCAGTCCAAAAGTAGACAAAATTTCAATATTCAATCCATGAATCCAATCCACGAATCCACGGATCCATTTCAATCCAATCCACGAATCCACGGATCCACTTGAATCCAATCCACGAATCCACGGATCCAATCCACGAATCCACGAATCCGATCCAATTGCCACCTCTAGTTAGCAAGCTAAGAAATCTCTAAAATTCAGCTAAAGAGGGTTCTATCAATAAAACAATAAACACTAGGGGGTGCATTTCGAAAATGAGATAATTTAGAATAAATGAGTCGGTTGAAGAAATTTGTCCAAAATTATCGTTGGGAATAAGTTGTGTCCGAGAAAATGTGGGTGAGTACTGTCAGTGAAATACCAGTGTACACTTTCCATTAAATAATAATATCAAAGGGATTGAAGGAAGTCATTCCCATGGTTTGTGAAACCTTAAAGTACTGGCGGTTCAACCGCAAAATACAAGTACTAGAGACTAAACTGGTAAGCGGTATTTACTATTTAGTGGTATTAATGGTTGAACTACAGTTAAAACATAGTTTAACCATAAAATACTCTACCACTAACTTTTGTGATACGGTTTCAAAAATCTGTCATTCATCATCCACAAACATAGAAAGTTAGTTCTTTCCGTCAAGAATCACCACCCCTTTGTAACCTTCCATTGTCTGTGACTTCTAGTGTTCAATTCATTAGAGAATTGTAAGCAAACACAAACCTTTTATCAAAGAAGTATACGTAACAACATAAGATGAGCAACATGCCCTCCATCTCATGGAACAATTCATTTACTTTAGGTATCCCCAATCACATATTTTTCTTTCATGTTATGAGTAGGATCTTGACTCGCCTTTGTAGTATGATAGGAAGCCGATGTGTTTTGATAAATCCTCTAGGCTTGGGAGACGTCTTGGTGACCCTAAATTGTGTGTTAATATGGGAGGTGATTCAAAGATCCTAGAGTCTCTAAATTTGGTACTTGATCGTAGACCGACTTTCTCGGTTCAGCTTGAATATTGCAATAAGCCTAAGATATGTACTACGTGTAAGAAGTTTGGGTATG